TATGGTTTATATAGAAATCTACACAACTTATTGGTTCCCAGATAATAATGATCACATGATATTTACAACAATGTGATAATGTTTTACATGTGAAACCTTGCATTCATACAATTCTTATTCTGATATTTTTATGTTATGCTTCACTTGGTTGTCAATACCATTGCATTACGCAATGCAGAATTTTATATCACAAACACTATTTTTCACTGTTGTTTGAACATTTTTCTTATATTTATAACAGTGATTGTTGCAACAATGCAGATTTCTTATATCAAAAACAGTATTTATCTCTGTTGTGTGGACATTTTTCTTATATTCGTAAAAGTGGTAGATTCGATGATGCAGTTTTTGACAAGATCCATGTAATTTTACCCTGATATCAAATACACTATATCAGTGTAGTTTATCTCAGTCACCAAACCTTAGTCAGGACAATGTCTACATTGTTGTTTATCAGCCTTAAACTTGACCAAGTTTATAATATATATTCTCATTCAGCCAAGCCAGAGTGTAAAAGACATTAATGCCAGGAGTGACACTGAATACAGGGATGGAAGAAATACAATGGTTTACACTGTCCTTTAGATCTAAATATGAATACATAAGATATCTTATGATTGAGCTTGATCATGTTACTAAGTTAGATGTTCCAAATCTAATTTCACAACAACACCTGAAAGGGGATTTAACTTTCAACAGAGTTGGGTCTCAGCACCTGTACCTTTTAACCTATACTAGGGAAAAGGGATAGCTTATTTACAGCAAAATTTGAAAGACAAGGAAAACTCTCAACTACTGCGAGATTCTATATCTTTTAATGACCAACCCAGGAAAATTATAAATGACAATTAACACATACATATCCTACTGTAAGACAGGGGGTGGCAGACATGTCATATCATATATTATTACAGAACACATTATATCTGAGTCAAAAACACAGGGCAGGCTTATTACAGAATACATTATATCTTACTCAAAGACATAGGGCATGCTTATTACAGAACATATCATATCTGACTCAAAAACACAGGATGGGCTTATTACAGAACATATCATATCTAACTCAAAGTCATAGGATGGGCTTATTACAGATTATTATATTATATTTGACTCAAAGACATAGGATGGGCTTAATACAGAACACATTATATCTGACTAAAAGTCATAGGGTGGGCTTATTACACAACACATTATATCTGACTCGAAGACACTGGGTGGGCTTATTACACAACACATTATATCTGACTCAAAGACACAGGGTGGACTTATTACACAACACATTATATCTGACTCAAAGACTTAGGAAAGGCTTATTACAGAACACATTATATCTGACTCAAAGACATAGAGCGGGCTTATTACAGAACACATTATATCTGACTCAAAGACATAGAGCGGGCTTATTACAGAACACTGAAATAAGACTGGATTATAACAAAGGCCAACAGTTATGTTTATGAGTAGGCTTACTACCTTGAACAGACTTATCACTTGTAGACAATTTACAATTACCCTAATTTAGACTTTTTGTAAACATCTACATAGGAGAGCAATATAAATCACCTGGCCAAACCCAAAGTTGGGTATATTATATATTGTAAATTTACAGATGGATTTTCATTATAACTTTCATTGTACGTTGTTGTCAATAGCATCAGAGCCTTCTAAATCATTGTTGTACACCTTGAAAACGCAGGATTCCATTGTTACTGTTGCGGTTGAGTGCCAGATTCATTGATTTGGCCAGGTATAAACAGTGTCTTAACATTCCATTGTTAAAGTGCAGGCCAGTCCTGCTCTGCCTCATTACTTCTGTATTCGGTCAGACATCACCATTTTACTTGTGACTAAGATATTCAATGCCATATTGACCATTGTCATTAAAGAATTATTTGGTATGTGTGTGTGGATCATTTTAGGTTCCTTGTAGCAAAGATGCAACATTATTGTGTTAACTATTTTAAGTTTCAAAAGCAGGAGAGCCTGCAAAGCCAAATCTGGTAAAAGGAAGGAATAAAAAAAAAAGAACACTGACAAACAATGCATGGTATATGGTTGGGACTGGTCAGGGTACATTTTAAATGGTTGGGTATGGTAAGGGATAAGATTTACACAAGGGACTGTATGATCAGGGCTACAATGTATATCACAGGCAATAGAAGGAATCTCTCAAAAAAAGGATTTCATGGGGCATAATCAGGTATACATTGTATATGGTGGGGAAGGGTCATGTATACATTGTATATGGTGGGGTAGGGTCATGCATACCATGTATATGGTGGGGAAGGGTCATGTATACATTGTATATGGTGGGGTAGGGTCATGTATACATTATATATGGTGGGGTAGGGTCATGTACAAATTGTATATGGTGGGGGTAGGGTCATGTATACCATGTATATGGTGGGGAAGGGTCATGTATACATTGTATATGGTGGGGTAGGGTCATGCATACCATGTATATGGTGGGGTAGGGTCATGTATACATTGTATATGGTGGGGTAGGGTCATGTATACATTGTATATGGTGGGGTAGGGTCATGTATACCATGTATATGGTGGGGTAGGGTCAGGGTTACATTGTATATGGTGGGGTAGGGTCAGGTATACATTGTATATGGTGGGGTAGGGTCAGGTATACAATGTATATGGTGGGGTAGGGTCAGGGATACAATGTATGTGGTGGGGTAGGGTCAGGTATACAATGTATATGGTGGGGTAGGGTCAGGTATACAATGTATATGGTGGGGTAGGGTCAGGTATACAATGTATATGGTGGGGTAGGGTCAGGTATACAATGTATATGGTGGGGTAGGGTCAGGTATACAATGTATATGGTGGGGTAGGGTCAGGTATACAATGTATATGGTGGGGTAGGGTCAGGGTTACATTGTATATGGTGGGGTAGGGTCAGGTATACAATGTATATGGTGGGGTAGGGTCAGGTATACAATGTATATGGTGGGGTAGGGTCAGGTATACAATGTATATGGTGGGGTAGGGTCAGGTATACAATGTATATGGTGGGGTAGGGTCAGGTATACAATGTATATGGTGGGGTAGGGTCAGGTATACAATGTATATGGTGGGGTAGGGTACAATGTATATGGTGGGGTAGGGTCAGGTATACAATGTATATGGTGGGGTAGGGTCAGGTATACAATGTATATGGTGGGGTAGGGTCAGGTATACAATGTATATGGTGGGGTAGGGTCAGGTATACAATGTATATGGTGGGGTAGGGTCAGGTATACAATGTATATGGTGGGGTAGGGTCAGGTATACAATGTATATGGTGGGGTAGGGTCAGGTATACAATGTATATGGTGGGGTAGGGGGTATACAATCATTGTATATGGGTATACAATGTATATGGTGGGGTAGGGTCAGGTATACAATGTATATGGTGGGGTAGGGTCAGGTATACAATGTATATGGTGGGGTAGGGTCAGGTATACAATGTATATGGTGGGGTAGGGTCATGTATACCATGTATATGGTGGGGTAGGGTCAGGGTATACATTGTATATGGTGGGGTAGGGTCAGGTATACAATGTATATGGTGGGGTAGGGTCAGGTATACAATGTATATGGTGGGGTAGGGTCAGGTATACAATGTATATGGTGGAGTAGGGTCAGGTATACAATGTATATGGTGGGGTAGGGTCAGGTATACAATGTATATGGTGGGGTAGGGTCAGGGTTACATTGTATATGGTTGGGTAGGGTCAGGTATACAATGTATATGGTGGGGTAGGGTCATGTACACATTGTATATGGTGGGGTAGGGTCAGGGATACAATGTATGTGGTGGGGTAGGGTCAGGTATACAATGTATATGGTGGGGTAGGGTCAGGTATACAATGTATATGGTGGGGTAGGGTCAGTGTTACATTGTACATGGTGGGGTAGGGTCAGGGTTACATTGTACATGGTGGGGTAGGGTCAGGGTTACATTGTACATGGTGGACTAGTTATGGTGATTGTAATTTTTTAACATGGTTGGCTTACATGGTGATTATAGAAGTGGTAGATGCAATGAATGAGGCAAACAATGCGAAATAAAATTTTAATTACTCTAATTCCCAACATTACCTTGGAAATTTTCTATTAGGAAAAATGATCAGCAGCTATGCAGAGATCCAGGGATGGAGAAGTAATCAATTAGTGTGCATTTGACATTTATGTTGGAACCATGTTATAATGATATTCTTATCACTGGGGACTGGAAGTCAACAAATGAAACTATACGAAGTATTGATTCCTGTATAAACACCAAGCTCCCGTTATATCAGGCGCGATTTAGCAATAATATGCATATAAATGTGTCGACCTACTCTTGACCACTGCCACCGACATGCAATGTAACCGAGGGGTTGATACTGCTGCTGGTAACTTGGAATGCCTTAAGAAGGCATCATTATCTAACCATGGGGGCTTATAGGTGGTATTTATGTGGCCATGTCATTAACTGAAGTCATTGAAAGGATGTCTAGAGATGGAGAACAGGGAGTCCAAATGCACAAAAATGATATGTCGTCTAGCGACAAGACGGAGAAAACATGTCAGGTGTAAGGTGAACCACATATTAGATAATCCCTTTACATCTACCAGTGACATATGCCCATAAAAAGGTTATATAAACAATATTGATAATAAATAAATTAACAAATCGGTATATTGACCTAGTTATACTTTGAAAGGTGTTTCTGTGTCAGATAGCGTTGCCATGTTTAATCCCAAATTCTGTCAACTGATGGGTGTGCTCCATACCCTCCCGCTTGACCAGTATCAGTGCACACCCGTGTCATGGTTACCGTTTGATAGCTGTGAGCAGCCACCGAAAAAAAATAGTTACATTCGATAATACATAACCGGGTTCTCGTTTAGCTATAACCTACACCAGTTGGCAAGTTTAGCGTAAATGTTTAGCAAATCTAAACGTAGAAGCAGACGACGATGAACGAAATATTAAAACATAATCAAAGTTACCATACCTTGCTCCATTTTTGAAGTCGCGCACCCAAATAGCCTTGTTTGAAGTCCTGTTTTACCTGTCTAATGGCGACTGGGTAGTTGGGTATATTTATAGAATCTTTTACACACACACACAGCTATACACAGTCACGAGATGGTTGACGTCACGTGTTTACGTTGCTAACATTGGGGTATACAGGATATTTCTCAATACACATCATATGGATTGATGTGGGGCGGGACCTAGTCACTGCATGGGATACGCGCACCGGCGAGAAAAACCTTTGTTATTTAACGGACATCGACAAAGATATATTGGAAATTTATCCAAAGTGGACTACTTTCTAATCAATGAATTATACCACGAAACCAATAAATTCATCTGATTACTCATCCACATTTTACACGCGCGCCTTCTTCGTCGACCCTACTTACTTGCCTTGCAGACGCGGAGTTGACATGTATGGAGACCTACATGTGACAACGAAATAGAGGAAATGCGACAGTAAAAGACTCGTGGGACTAGGTCTGAATTATGTATAATTCATTTTACCCAAAATTTCTTCAAAGATCAAATCATCAAATTCAATTTTAAGATCATCAGTTCTTTGATACTGTTATAAAACTACATGTACCATTACACTGTAATATATTGTGCAGTTTTTTAAATAATAAACTATTGATGCCTTTTTTGGAAAAAAATGTTTGTCAGCCCTTGTGAATGAAATATGCTAGGACTCACATTGATGATGTAATAACATCAACATTAACTGTTATTTCAACACTAATTTATTGTACAAAGCAGTTAAGTTTCCCTGTGGAAATGGGCAAAGACTTTTTATGGTTTCATCACATGTCAGATCTGAATGCAAGGGTCCTGTTTGTACATTCTACCCAGAAACGGGTAATTCCACTGCAATTGATCATGTATTGAGTCAAACTCTGTAGATCTTATCCTTGACTGTCCCAGATGATGGTGAAAATCCGTTAGGACACTGTCCTATAATCTGTTCAATACGAATTCCTGAGACTCCAATCACAAATAGTTCCACAAGTCGTAGTCGAAAAAAACTTTAGATAATGGTCAATAAGTAATTATAAATGTTGTGTAAAACGGTTGTTGGATTGTATCACAGTACCAGATGACAAAGCATCTCCTCAATATATCGATCGTTATTATAGCGATATATCCGTAGTCTTAACTGAAGCTGCAGATAAGTGTTTACCAAAGATATAGTAAACATCTAAAACCTAACTGGGATGAGAGTCTAACGACGATGCACATTCAAATTATACAACAACGAAGTATTTGGGTACAATCCGGTAAGCGGTGACAGAATTGTATATTTTGCAGTACATATAAAACTTGTAAAAGAGACTTTCGACGTCAGCTGCGCAATTCATTTGAAATGTTTATGAAAAAGCAATTTGCTAAACTTTATCTATTATGCAAATTAGACCAGAACATGTTTTGGCAACTTTTTAAGAGAAAAAAAAGAAAACAAAAAGTCAAACAAGCAGAATTAAGATGGGAAAACCCTGAGAAGTCCAGATGATATTTTGAATGGTTGGTCTCTACGTTTTGAAGATCTATACAAAAAGTCGATGATTTTGATAGTTGTTTCTGCGATAAGATAAAAGAATTAAAAGGATAAAATCGAATAGTCGTTTTGATGACGATTTGTCTATATTTAATGCCTTTTTTTCATCGCATGAAATCAGTCTTATTTGTCAAAAATTAAAAACAAATAAGGCAGGTGGCCACGAAGGTTTAGTATATGAACATGAAAAGAATACAGGGCGATCCCTGATCGACCATATCCAAAATTTATTTAATCTTGTTGTTAGATATGAATATCTTCCTAGAAACTGGATGCAAGGCATTATAGAAACCATTCACAAAGGTCAACGGAAGCCAAATGATGATCCGAATATTTATAGGTGAATAACACTTTTACCGGTATCTTAAAAAGAATTGAAATGGCTTTTGCGGGAAGAATTTCCTATATAACTGATTCTGAAGTATTTCCAATCAAACAACAATCAGCACACCAAAATAACTTATGTAGTCTCTGTACTGCGTTTAGTTTGCAAGAATATGTTTATTATAATATGGAAAATAATTCTGACATGTATGTCTTGTTTTTAAGTAGCTCAAATGCTTTTTTAAAACAGTTTGGAACGACGGCTGACTTGTAAAATTGTACGATACTGGGCTTACAGGTAGAGTATGTAAAATTTTAAGACTTATGTATAATGATATACAAAGTAATGTTTATTAAGTCTATATCAATGAATTGTTAAATGAAGTAGTGGGGTGCAAAGATAAAGGACAAACACGTAAACATTCCAACTCAAGCTGATGATGTCTGTTTGGTGAGCACAAATACTACGAGCCTTCAAAAAATGTTAAATATCTGGGTATCATATAGCCGCAGATGGATATTCTGGTATTCAGCTTCAAAAAGTAAGAATATTTCCAAAGTAAAGATTGATAGACATAAATTGTAATGTATATATTTATAATAATGTATTACCAGTTGTTTCCAATATTACTCATCTCGGTATTCTGTTGAACTTTAGACATGACTCTATGGAGAGAATAAAACAGGCTTGTAATAACTTAGTGACACTATGGCACTTGTACGTTCTGGGGCTCAGCAATGTGCTCTTAATCATCTAACTGTTTGAATGATTTTAAAAGTTGAATTATATAAAAACGAAGTTGTACGAAACAACGACCTTACATCATTTTTGCAAGATCCTGAGAGGCGCCAAGGAGTAATGTGACTACAACGCACCAGGAGGGATGCTGGACGGAGCTCAGAAATGGGAGATGAGAGTTGGCATGAGACAAAGACCGGTCTTCTTAGAGGTCGACGAAATCAAGCCACACCCGGATACCCTACTCTGGTCACAGCAAGGAAAGACAATGGCTGAGTGTCCTCTGTGAGGAGCGATAATATAAGGCATACTGGCGCAAAAAGGGAAGGTATGCCAGACATGCTGATGAAATGAGGGAGGGGGATGGATGGAGTGTGTGAGTCTTTCCAGTGAAGTCCCTGCACCGTTCATGTTAATATGTTTGCAACATTTGGCATCAGGGGAAGAAACCAAAGCCAGGTTTACATAGACTGGCATCAACAGCAAAGAAGTCGTCCGACTGACCAGTCATTGGTGAATTCCAATAGAGGAAATCGTCCCTCCAGTTCCTCTAGCCGTACAACTAGGGAGAGCTACCAATACTCTTTCTTCCCAGCCAGTATCACTCCTTACCTCGAAACATTGTGGATCGACCAAGATAGAAGTTCAGTATTTCATTTGTAATTGAGTGACCATGTTTTTTCAGTATTCTTCAGTTTTTAATTGAGCACCCCTATGCCGATCTACCAACTAAACTAAAGAAGCGTGTTATCTGTCAGCTGAGTAGCACAACAGGGACATGTAAGATACTTGAACATGAAAAGATTGGTAGTATCTTCTAATTTTTGGTCTGCATCATGGAAAATAACTTCTTAGTTAGATTTCATTCAAAGTGCAAGCCCATGGGCCTCTTGTTGTTTGTTTGTTTTTGCTTTTTTTTTTCTTTATTTTGTTTTTGTTTTCGGCGGTAATTTGGTTTTTTAAATTTCTATTCATTGTTTTGTTTTTCTTTATTCGTTTGGTTTCTAATTATGTTGCAGATGCTTGAAGTTTGATCATTCTATTAAAAGCATACGGCAAGGTTCAGTATTTCGGAAGTGAATGGACAGCAGGGGTTAATCTGAAACATTTTGATAATGCTGGGGAAAGTGTCAATCCAAAGGATGAGAAGTAAAGGGCAGTTTACGAATCATGGAGCAGATTGTTACTTCAGATCAGGCATCACAAATAGAATCTGTATGTAAACTCGAACGTTATAGTCCATTTCCATACATATCTTACTAATGAATATCACTCCAGGATGGGTGTAAGTTCTATAATATATATAGCACAAAGAGCATTTGGTATGACGCATATCTTCCCGAATTACATTAAAAAAATACACGATAATAATTCTACTGCTGTTGAAATATATCGTATGCCGTTACCTTATCCGCTTTCACTAGATCTCCAGATTATCTATTGTCATCACGAACCGTGCGAGAAATGTCTACGTATATAGGCTACATAAACCTAGCGACCACGACAAACATATTAATTACACTTAATTGCTAACATATTCACCATATAGATGGAATCACGCAGTTTGCACATGTCTCTTTCCTATAGTTAAACATTTGAGTAGGCCGATATTTTACTTTAAACTGAATGCCTTTGGCTCCTTGAACGGAAAAACTGCATTACGTAATGGTGAAATCCGTAGTCTTGTGTAGAGGACTAGGTGACCAGTAATGATCTCGATAATTTTACAAAATTGTTTACAGGTCGTTATCGTGACCACCACATATAAGGTCATTTTATATCTGTATACAAGTGATTTAAACGTTTCGCCATCAAATCAATAATTCTATATATGGATCATTCTAACGTAATCACATAGGAACAGAAGGAAAGTTACCTGAGATCCGTGAGACGGGGAAGGAGAATAAGACCAGATGTTCCGAAAGTTCTGCGTTTTCTGTTTTACCTACGACATTCACTATATCAATCTATGTTTATGTACAACTAAAATAACCGGAATACTAACCAGCATTGAAAACGTCAAACCATATATCACATGGGGAAATTTACCAATGAGACCATGAAGTCGACCGTAAAACGTTTTGTTATTAGAGGGTGAGGAAGTATAGTTACGACTAGAATGTAACGATTAGAGGGGTAGGAAGCATAGATACGACAAGAATGTAACGATTAGAGGGGTAGGAAGCATAGATACGACTAGAATGTAACGATTAGAGGGGTAGGAAGCATAGATACGACAAGAATGTAACGATTAGAGGGGTAGGAAGCATAGATACGACAAGAATGTAACGATTAGAGGGGTAGGAAGTATAGATACGACTAGAATGTAACGATTAGAGGGGTAGGAAGCATAGATACGACAAGAATGTAACGATTGGAGGGGTAGGAAGCATAGATACGACAAGAATGTAACGATTGGAGGGGTAGGAAGCATAGATACGACAAGGATGTAACGATTAGAGGGTGAGGAAGCATAGATACGACAAGAATGTAACGATTGGAGGGGT